TCCAGAAAATGAGTGCTTCTTATATTTATTGTTTTAAGTACGACTGTACGAACCATATGGAAAGTTCTTGTAGTGAGCGTGGGAGTGGGTCAGGGAGTTCTTGGTGCTGATAATACACTTTTGTGGAATTATAACAAAGATATATGTTTGATATATTTATTTTGTATTTATTGGACGTAAATATTACTTATATTACTAAAATTTTAATTTTTAGTTCGACGTTTCCTTGCCGTACGCCCGTACCCGTATCTTGATATTTTGAGATTGGAGTTTCCCCGTCCCCGTCCTCCGTCCCTGTTTCCGTTTCCGTCCCGGTGCTACTTAGCTAGAATCTTTAATTAATATATTGGGGATATGCAAAAGTGGGGATGCAATGTAAGTTTTGTTAGGAAAGTTGGATTGTATAGCACGAGTTGTTTGAACCCTTGCATTCTTTGAATGGGGATAAATTTCAAAAAGTTTAATATGACGTATTTGCTATTGGGAAACCCACAATAGCTATATTGCCATAATTATTTTTTTGCATTACTCTTGCACAACTCTCACTTGAGCTAAAACACATTGAGAATTGAGACAGTATAGGAGAGTTTCCTCACCTCTTCATTTTTTTGGATAAAATGTAAATATATATATATATATATATATATATATATATATATATATATATATATATATATATATATATATATATATATCCAGAAAATAACATAGTACAATGCATCAAAACTATAAGGCTAGCTATACTAACTAAAATAGAATCAAACCATTCAAACCCCCCTCCCCCCTCCCCCAGAGGGGTAGGCGGGAGAGAGATTTTTATGGCACAATCCAAAACGGCGCGGGACAAGCCCCGGCTCGTATCACAAAAATCAAGTAACCAAAGCTGGACCAGCTCAAAAGAGTCAGCCCAGTAACGAGTCAAACCCTCTTGTAAGGGGCTGTCCATGAACCAAAAGGCCCAATAACAGCGAATTCAGAACCCAGTAGCCCGTTCCAGCAGCATCTCCCAGCAAGCAAGTCCAACAGGAGGCCCACCAGCACATCAGCCCACTACAGCAACCCGGCACTCCTTCCGCACAGCTACAGGCCGGACTCTAGGGCAACAGCCCACAACCCCAGACCCTTCATCGCTACGGCAGTGCGACACATCCAGCCGCCAACCATTCAACATTCAAAATTCAAATTGGCAGGTCAACCGACAGGCTGTCCCCTCCTGGTCAGCTGTCAGTCTGCCCCACCCCACCCCTTACCCGAGTCCCCCCACCTGGTGCCAGTACCACCGGGCAGTCCGGCGACCGGAGAACCAGGGCCAAACTCCAAACCAGACGTAAAAACCCCTGCTGACCCAAGCTTCCACCTTCCACCACCTTCCTCACCTCTTCATCAATTCGCCTAAAAGCCACCATCCACTTAGCTGCTGCACTTTGAGAGTAGAAGAGGGGTCTGGATTTACTTTTTCTGCAACGGTAATTATGTTCTTATCATTCTTGCATTTTCTTTATTCAGCTCTATTGAAAGAATGGGGCAAACAAAATGCATTAATATATAGATATTAGATACTACATAGATGTCTAAATCATGCCTTGAAATGTAGCTTAGTTTAAGGCGTTTCTTATATGAAATTAGTCCAAGATGTTGTGTTTATCGCTCAAGCATAATAGGATCTGATTTTAATATACTCTCATGCCACATTAAACTGTGTTGCTTCACAAAAGATAAACATAGTAGCAATAGTATGCCAATATATGTTAGTTCGTGTTTTATATTCTACGATGTAGTTTGTCTTAATGAAATGTAATACAATGTAATAAAATGCTTCTGTAGTGTAATTTTTATTTTATTGAAGTGTTGTCAAACCAGAGGCAATCATGGCACTTTGTGGGGAAGAGGTCATTTCTTTTATGGAATTAGCTCTACAACAAGCTAAGCTTGCGCTAGACAGCCTTGAAGTGCCGGTAGGTTGCATCATCGTAGAGGATGGTGAGGTCATTGCTTCAGGAAGGAACCGGACCACAGAGACTAGAAATGGCACTAGACATGCTGAGATGGAAGCCATTGATCATCTGCTTGAGAAATGGAAGAAAAATGGGGTTTCACCGGGTGAAGTTTATGAAAGATTTTCAAAATGTGTGCTTTACGTAACATGTGAACCATGTATAATGTGTGCAGCGGCCCTGTCTTACCTTGGCATTAAAAAAACTGTTTATGGATGCTCAAACGACAAATTTGGTGGTTGTGGATCGATATTGTCATTGCATGCTGGGGTTGGAGTGGCAAATAAGGGCTTTGAATGTGTTGGAGGTGTGATGGCATCTGAAGCAATATCTCTTCTGCGCAGCTTCTATGAACAGGGAAATCCAAATGCACCCAAACCTCACAGACCGCTGAAACAAATGAACGCATGATGTTCTTCGTAATGTGTCCATTCAGCCTTTGGGTCGAGGAGGATTATCAGCCCCTTTCTATACAAATTGTAACGAGTTCCTGATGGTTTTTTCCACTTGATCAAGAAAAAGCAATTATTCTCTTTCTGAGTGCCGTATGATTAGATTTCGGCCACACTTGTCAATCAATATAAAAATTGAAGAGGTGTAGTACAAAGTACTGCCGTACTGGTTAGAACGTTAGACTGTTAGAGAAACTAGAAATGGTTCCTAGTAGTACTTTCATCTGAAATCTGAAATGCTGTTGGGCATCCTTAGTTTGGAGCAGCAGTAAATCCACCTGTAAGATCGGATAAAATTGGAATGATACAGTCATTAAGAGAAGATAGAAGTGACATGCACAACAGCACATGTCGAGAAATGGTGATTAGATAAAAGTGATTCATAGTTTAACACAAGTGTTAGTTTTGCTTTGTTTTTTTACTTGATGTTATATATTAGAGTATAATACATGCATATGCAGATTTCAGTTAGAAGTCGTTCACATCTCCTAAGCTCCTAAGGTTTTTCACGAATATTTTTCTCAAGGCTCAACAATGGTGAATTCGTCGGTCTTAAAAAAATCATCTGCTTATAAACCTCAATTTATTCAACATAAGGTATGGAGACTTGACACGCTTTCTAGTTTCTACACTCTGAAGCTTAGTTTAGACAATTGTAGTAGTCTAGTTCATTATGAAAATGCATCTATGGCAAGTGGTAGTGGTCCTAGTGGATCACATTCTCACACTTAAGATTCTCCCATGTTGGAGGTCTTGAGTTTAAGTTATCTAGGTGAATATGAGACGATTTTCACAAATGCTGATCGTCTAACTCTTGGAGATAGCTTGACTAGTTGCGCGATAAGTGTTCCATCCAATAATCAATGGCAATTCTCTCAAAAGTTGTGCTAGAAATTTGAGGATACGTGAAGTCAATCAGTTATGAGAGATTTTTTATGTGTGATAATGTAAAGATAGGCATTTGAGAGTTTGGTGTAGACTCTTGAGAACCCAAGATTAGTGGGACAGAATCATTGGGTGTTAATAAAAAATGAAAATACAACTATGAAAATGTCTAAGTTGCAATCATTTTGGCTTTGTGTTAATATTTCATTCCAGACCAAGATTGGAATCAGATAAAGGGAAATTTAGCAACAATATGCAAATTAAAGAGGTTCAATCCTTTAAAGGTGAAATTATTCCTTTCAAAATGAAGCTACAATGGGTCATTTTTTTATTCATTAAAACACTGCTAGCTCAAGTAACATTTGGTGAAAATATACTTGGAGCTCATACCAATTAATTTTGATGTAACTTTATGTATAATGATGTGCATTGTCTGGTTAGGGATGATTGGGGTGGGTCGGGCCGGAACCGGACCGGCCCGCTATTGTGCGGGCCCGGACCGGACCGGCCCGGGTCCATCCCTAGTCTGGTTCACTTTGTATATTATCTTATTAATTACATAGTAGCAACGGACCACTCCATCTTTTGGCATCTTTCACCTTGCTAGAATTTTTAATAGTATATGGCTTTAATTGAGCAGGTGTGTGAGATGTTTTTCTTTTAACATTGACCCATTTTTCTTTGATGATAATAACTCACAGACATTTGCTCATCGCATATCTCCCTAACATTTGTTTTTCCTTGCTCCCAAGGCATTTCTATACATTCTTAAGATAAACATGGTGTTTTTAGATCCTCAAAATAGGCATGTACAAGTTTATATTGTTTCAAGCTTATATTGTCATGAAAATAATACACATTCAACTAGTATAGAGTATTTTCACCTCTCCTTTCAAAAGAGCATTTTTTTACATTGAATACAAAATAACTAAAATTTTCCATCATTTGCAATGGAGCCAAACATTCACTATTTTTTGGCTTAGCTATATGATGGAATAAAGTAAAATAACTGATTAAACTGTCTGTGCTTCTTTGTTATGAAGCAGCAATCAATCTATGCAAATTTTTACGTAATTTCCACAATGAGTCATTCGAAACAGTCTCTATATGTTGTAGTACAGGGCCACGAATGCGTACATCCAACCCTCTTCCCCTCCTACTCCACCATACATGGGACCTTTGCAGCACTGGGGTAATGATGATGATGAAGAATTAAAAAAAACTAAAACATGCAACCCTAAAAGGTCGTGAAAAAAGAGAAAGTTTATTGATTGAGTTTTGTTCATGTTTGTGCACTCCATTGATTAACTTTATGTACATTGTACACGTACACTCAACACATCGTCAAAGATGGTATTATACTCTTAAAAAAGAGTTACTCCCTTCACCCCTTTTTATTTAGTCAAACACTATTTTTCAAGTCGATCATGTTAAACTTTGACAAATTATATATTTATACACGACACGATTATATTGATCATATGAAAATTATATAAAATATGCTTTGCTAAAAGTGCTACCATAAAAGTATAAACTTATTAAGTTTCACATAAATATTGTTAGATGAAATAATGTATCAAAGTTTATCATCTTTGAGAGGTTATAATAAAGTTATCAATGAATTGGGATCAATTTCTTTTGTTTCGTACTTTTCATTGTTTTGATAGGGGTGAGGGTATCGTTTTATTTATTCCTAGTGTTACTTGAGAACACATGTATGAATGAGAGAGAGCCATATAGACTAATAGTATTTGGAGTTTCATGACTGCAAAATATCACCCAACTCACAAAGTACAAGAACACCATTTTGAAATAAAGTCAATCACAAAACTATTGTTATGTTACTCAAAAATAAAGTTGGTTTCATACACCTATCAACTCACCCCGATCGCAACTATGGCTGCTTCTGCCATCTGCCATCCTACCTCTGCTCTGCAAGTCATTTTCTTTTTTAATTTATATAATTTTCCAATTTCATAAACATGGTATGTAGGTACTAGGTATGTTTATGATGTTACTCACTGGGTAGTCAAAATTAGAGCAATGTACTCAATTTCATGGTTTCTAACACTAATAGTATAGCTAGACAGTTGGTAAGATGATGATGCCCCTTCACTTTGATTTGCAAAGAGAGGGAGAATACAACTAACCCATACTCAGATGGAAGGTAAGATATCTTCGTATGTGCACAAAAAAGAGAAGCTTCGTTCTTGACAAACTAAAGAATGTGTTAATAGCTGTAGAGCACGAAAAATAGGATCCATCTTGGAGAGCAGTGTCATGTTTCCTACACTGGCTCCTTTCCTTCTCCACATTCAACGCAAGCACATAAAGCCTTCCAAATAGGCACCAAAATTTTTGCGGAAGGACGTGACACCTATCAATTGAATTTAAAAACCCCTGTAAAATTATTATGGGTAACCTGTTGTAAGAATAAGGGTGTAGTGCCTGTTTGGTATTGGGACTTTTTCGGCTTATAACAGTTTCTATGGAACACTAAAAGTACACAGTCCCCAAAAGGAAAAGAGTACCAGACATATTTTAGAGTCCCGCTTCGTGTACACGCCGGGTTACACGCCGATCAAATTGTCTGTATACAGACAATTTGATCGGCTAGACAGACAATTTGACCGGCGTTTTATGAAGAAAATCGATTTCCATACAGACAAAATATCAAGAGTTGTCTGTATCACAGACATTTTAAACCTGAATTTTTCATAAAGTGTCTGTGATACAGACATTTTTTATTTTTGTCTGTGTGAAAATCAGTTTTCTTCGTAAATCGCCGCTCAATATGTCTGTGTAGTCGGTCAAATTGTCTGTACACAGACAATTTGACAGGCGTGTAACCCGGCGTGTAAAACTTGACGTGTACAAAAGAAATTTTCCATGTTTTATCCCCAAAAACTTGTCATATCAAGCAACAAAAAAGAGATAATTTGCATTATATTTCATTGCAAGTTAAATACGGAATAATGTACATTTAGTTTTCCTTCGAAAAAGATGTTACATTGAGTTGGAGAAATATAAAATGTTAAAAAAAGGTCCTTCTACTATTTCAAACATCAGTTAAGCCCGCATGCGAAAAAATAAGTCATATAATAAGCTTACTTGGAAAGCAATCAATCCTATCATTTCACGATTTATCAATTTCCTTAATTTTTTTCAAAAGGTGACCTGCTATGGCAGGTCTATAACTAGTAAAATGAATGGATTGATTACTTTTCAAAGTAAATGTGCTTATGTAATACTCCCTCCGGCCCGGTCATTTCTTCAAACTTTACTTTTTGAACCATCCCAATTAATTCTTCCAAGTTTCACTTTTGGAAAAAATATGTGGTTCACATTCATTCACCTTTTTATTACACATCTACAACCATACATTTTCACTTTATTCCCACTATCTAAATTTGTGAGTCAAGTCAAAACCGGAAGAAATGACCGGGATGTTCCTTAACCAAAATTAAAAGGTCCAACTTCGACGAAGGAGCTCTTTTTGTAGAGAGGGAGTAATACAAAAGTTAATTTTTTTTTTGCTGAACAGTTAGAAAGAAGATACTTGACCGTTATCATCGACATTAGTCCAACTTCGCTCTTACCAAACAGACTCTAATTTGCTACAATAGAGGATGAGAAATGTTTAACCTTGAAAACTAAAAGAAGATCATCTTCTCCGTGAATAGTCAGAGAGAGGGTCCAGTAACAAGTAATGGGGGTCACACATTCATTCAGCACAGGTTTCAAGATCTTGCAAGTAGGAACAAAGCGTCGAACGATTCTCCCGCTGTTGTAGAAGTACCAAATGAGCAATTTGGTATGAACCCATAATAGCTTAACACAAAAAGAGGTGGGGGTGGATCTTATGTATGGCAGAGCCTTTAAGTACCTTTGGTATTGAGTCTCAATCTGAACTCCAAAAGCAGGAAAAATTATTACAGACTCTGTTACGCACAAACCAAAAAAGTGAGTGACAGAACAAGAGAAGAAAAGTACTCCTCCCATTAAAAGAAAGAGTCAGTTTCATCATGGTACAAATTTTTATTCCATGCATAAAAATATGGCAACCAAAGTAGTTAAATGAGATATGGGATCTTAAAGGGAACATCAAAGCAATAAATTCTTGACCAAGAAATCATGTATTCGTTGAATGTTGCTATTTTCTCCTAAGTAGTGAAACACCCCTTGATGTGGAAAACATCCAAGAGCTGTGCATTAAATGCACATTCAATACATTACCATTGGATTTCCTTATGTCAAGAGATATCCAATTCCTGGGCAATAAAATAACAATTTGCTATTAGGCTTTATAACTATACACATACTATAGCATTTCTATAATTTTAAGTAAATTTAGTTCTTATAAGTCATCATATATCAATCTTAATGTATGCTTGATTTTTTCAAGCTATTGGTTACTTGAACTCCGATATCATATGTCGATTCATGTTAGCCGATCCCAAACTCTATATTGGGAATAAGGCTTGGACGATGTTTTAGTAGTAGTAGTTGCATTGGTTACTTTAACTAAACTCTCATTTTTAATTTGTTCTGAACCCCTTTTGGTAATGAATTACAAGAAAAATAGCTTTGCTTTGAAACATGCGCTCTTTTCTTGAAGATCATTCTCAACACAAAAAAACGGATATTGTAATCAAAGACTTATCTCCTCACCTCTGACAACTAGCTTTAGATTAATCCAGATGAGTGATGCCACAACAAGTAGGCTGTAAAGAAGAGCAGCACTAGACCTGACCTGCTATCGCGCACACATCATCACTCTGTAATCATGACACTTTACTAAATTGAAGCAAAGTAGGTGAAATGCCCAAATATCTAATCTACAGCTTTAAGAAGCCTATGTATCATAGTTATGAACAATCACAGAAACACAAATTTCATATGGCACAATAGTGCACCCTTCGGTAGCCAATATGGTTTACTCTGCTTACGAGCAGAATAAGTAGTTTTTGACTTGCACTTTAATTTGTCACGATGTTACAAGAGACTTTTCTTTTCAGAGACCATATCAGATTCATCCACTTTAGCAGAATAATCTTTAACAGGCCCTGAATACTTAATATGGATATACTAGATAAATACATTATACCAGCACAATTAAAAATGAACTAACCACCTAATCTCAAATGATCATCAAATAGGGACAGTAAATCCTTGGATATTAAGTGAGTAATGAGTATATACCAGTACAAGTAGAGCGCAGATGTAGGCTGAGAGGAGGAGAAATGTGAGTAAAATTGAAGCATTGGGTAAGGAATTTCTTGAATCATAACATGGTGGACATCTATGGCTTCAGTGGGCGGCCCTTTACCAACATCATGTACATAATTGTATCTCCCAATCGTAATACTGCTACTCCTTCCTCCCATTTTCTCTCCGCAAATTGACAAAGCTTAGGGTTTTTTAAACATTGACCACTCCAAAGCAGTGTTTGGTGCTTTCCATGAACTGTTAAGCTTCAACCTTTGAGTCAACTTGTAAGAAATGCACTGGGCGCTTGTGTAGAAGATTTTACACCTTTATCTCTGTGTTTACGCGATTGATCTTCCCTACAATGTAGATAGTGCCAGATCTAATACTTCTCGTTTGCGCGAATTTCATACTAACGTGGGGAAGATTTTGAGGATGAACCATACCTTTCATGAGAAGAAGATGCAGTTTGAGAGGCAAGTCGTTCACCGCCTATTTCACGATATAGAAAGGGATGGACTAGGTTCGGACCGGGCCGGGTTCGGGCCTTGAACCGGCCGGGCCTCGGTTCAAGGTATGGGAGGCCCGGAACCGGCCTAGGTAACCCCTGGGTCCGGGCCGGGCCGGACCAGGCTTCGGTTCTATTTTTTTTTTTTTTTTGCCTTTTCCTAGTTAACCCCCAACCCTCCCCTCACCCCAAACCAACCCTAACCACCTCAAATGGCCCAAAATACCCAGCCTAACCCAAAAACTTAAAAAAAATCAAAATAAAATTGGCCCGGCCCGGGCCCGAACCGGCCAACCAACCGGTTCACCGGGCCGGTCCAGTTCCGGGCCGGTCTGGTTCCGGGCCGGTTGGCCCGGCCCGAGTCCACCCCTAATATAGACCAATGCCCTAAACCAACCCTGAGCTCGTACTTTTAAAATGATTTTGTAAAAAATGTTTAATATTATAAGTTGGTAATATTTAAGAGAAAATTGATTTTGAAAAGTTAAAGTTGTTAACATTTGTTAAAATAAGTGTTTTTTGTGTAATCGAAAAAGTAAAAAGTAGATTCTAACTTTAAGCTTTTAAGTATTAGTTTAATTAGAAGTTGTCATTCGAAAACACCGTTTTTAGCTTTTTTAAGCCAAAAGTTGGGAAGCGTTTTATTTTAAGGGTTTGCAAATTGTGCCTTAGTTGGACACTAAAGCATGTATGATTTATCAATTTTTTAGACCTCTACTATTAGCATCCACAGGTGGACGTTAAAGCATGTGTGATTTATCAAAAAAAACTTATTGAATTTTTTTGTACGACTTTGTTGACGGTAATAAGCAGAGTGTGTTACCCTTCCATTAAAATATTATTAAGTGTCTTTTGCAAATGATAGTTTTTCTTGTAGTGTAACTTAGATTTTAGTAATAATTTTTTTAAGTTGTGTAACATCGTGTATTACTTTAGATAATTTCCCATAAATGTTCCAAATGTGGCTATAGTTTTTTGTGAGATCAGGGGCGGACCGTAGTACAGATCCAGGGGGCTACCGCTCCCCCAACAAGAATTTTTTTTAGTGTATATATATATATATATGTGAAAAATGATTTTTTCCCTCCCAAAAAATATTTTGAACCCTCAAAAAATATTTTCACCCCGCTAAGATGACTTTCCTGGGTCCGCCCCTGTGTGAGATGCTTTTAAAATTTTATATCAAGTTGTAATAATTTAATCTTATGCATATTCAATAGTGAGATAGAAGAATACTTTCAGATATATTACTAACAGCCTTTAAAAAAATTATTTCATACCGATGATTTTTCATAATATTAAATTCATTATATTATACGGAGTAATACATTATGATATGCCCTCAAGTTATTCGCAAGAGATGCAAGTGAAGATTGGGACGTTACAATAAAAAGTTCATATTTTACAAACAAAAAAAAAGAAATTATATCCTCATTGTTAACATTTGAGTGATATCACTAATAATGTCTAAAGTTAAGTCTGTTAAAACAATAAAAAAGATATGTTCATGATAAAACTCAATAGACGTTTTTTGGAACATTCCTACATGATATATACTTTATTTGAGAGAGAACATGATATATACTTATTGAATGATAAAAAGGTTGTATATCATTTATCACCCCATATATACATTTCATATAGAAATGTAAAAACTGTACATTAATGCCCACAAAGTTAAATTATTATGACAAGAGATATTTTCCAAAATAGGAGTAAATGGAGTTTGAAATTCCAAAATAGGACTACTATATTTTTATTCTCGAAATGGGACTAACATGGTACTCCCATAGTAGTAGTATTTACTGTCATCTTGTAGGCGTGATTACCAAATAGTTACAGTACAATGCATTTAACATGACAGTATTTATTATAATTAATGACAACATTTTTCAATCATGGCAGTATTTTTCATACATGACAATAACAACTTCTATTTCGGGAAGAAAAACACACTAGTCCTATTTTGGAATTCCAAATCTGATTTGCTCCTATTTTGGGCAATTTCCCTTATGACAATCATCAAAAAAATAAAGGGGGTGTTATAAATCAGAGTATTCCATTTGATAGTGCAGCAACGTTGCAGGGGGAGGGCTGCCCTCATGGTTGGACTCGGACCGGGTGGCCCGACCCGAAACCAGCTCCGGACCGGTACTGTTCCGACCCGGCCCGAACCGGTGGCCCGGTCAGTGACCGGTCCGGGTAGGCCCGACCCGGTGGGTTTCCGGTCCGGGCTGGGGTCACCCATAACAAGGTCCGGCCCGGCCGGGCCCGGTTCAGGCCAAATTTTTTTTTTTTTGTTTTTTTCATTTGTTTGGGCTCCACCGGGTTGGGCTTGATGTTTAGGAGGGGTTTGGGGGGTGGGGGGTGAGGGGGGAGTCAGGGATGGGTAGCTAAGCAAAAAAAAAAAAAAAACAAACCCGAGGCCCGGCCCGGACCCAGGCCGGTCCCGGGTCCAGCTATATAGAACCGCCGGCCCGACCGGGCCCGACCTGGCCCGAGTCCAACCATAGACCTGCCCTAGGTTCAATAAATCAGCATGTTAACATTGCAGAGAGACACACCAGTTGGAAGAAACCTGCAACAGATGGGCTGCTATATTATCGGAACTCAACAAGGTTCTACACCCAGTGTTTAATGTAGACGGGGCACTAAACATTGGCAGCGTAAAGCGGGCTTTGGCCTGGGCAGCTCGGGACGATATGGGAAACTTTATTCGAGGAGGTACAAGAACAGTTTCTGCGGGCTGGACAGCCCATATAATGGAAGCTATTGGTGTTAGTGAAGTACTATCTTGGGATAAAGAGCAAGATTGGAGTCTAGTGGAGGTTGAAACATATGCTTTGCTTATAATATTAAGATTATCAGAGAAGATTGGGAGTTCTTATTTTGATTTAATAGTGGTAGATATTAGACTATTGCTTCAACGTAAGGCTAGTATGTCGGTCAATCATTGCAAATGATTCACGAATCGGGTAGCTCACATTCTTGCTAGAGCTGCACTTTCGGGTGGTAGCTTCCTGTGATTCAACTCTCAGTTGTATACTTGTATTCATAGCCATTTGGCAAATGACATTTTGAATTCATAAAGTTTGCTTATTTACATTCAAAAAAAAAATACACAAAGTATTCCATAAATCAAAAAATAGTACTTTTCAATGTACACTAAAGTATAGTTATGATTGGCTGATATTAAAATTGATATAGATGATCACTTTTACAGAGGTGAATAATGCATGCATCTAATTAAAATTAATAAAAAATATATTATTTTAAAGTCTTATTTTAATGTCTTCTCTTTTTGGCTGTCATGCCTTGCACAGTTGCACCATACCTCTTTTTCAACTAAGAAATAGTTTACTATGAGTGTTGTGTTTAACTATGTTACTTGCTTATTGCTTTGGACATGAGGATTGAGGAACAATACATCATAGATGAAAAACTGAACCGCAATACATCATATATTCTGTTTTAGAGCAGATCATCTGTTTGGAATCATTGGATGCATTGTTTTGAATTTTCCTTCTACTAGTGATTAAATCAGACTCGGTCCTTGCTAATAAAGTAGAATCGTCAAATAAGAAATTATTTAGATTTTTTGTTTATGAATCCAAACAAATTGTTTTGGGTTGTAAATGTTAAAAATTGGTGAATCCTTTTTTTCTTTTTCAACTTAAATTTGATATTTAATCTCAGCCAAAAGGTGCGCAAATCATCTTCATTTACCTTTTTGGAGATTTGGACTTAAACCTCTCGCTAATGAATGATAAGTGTAGGTCTAATCCATCTGAACAAATATATTTTTTAGCATCACCTCTGCCACTGCATTTGTGAATTGTGATGCCCATATCGTCCAACCACATTTTCCAACTTCTTAGTACATTTCATTTTGGAAATAAAAATACGGAGTATTAAATATGGTGACAACTCCGGTACCTTTCTAAAAAATGGGGTACCGTACCTATCATTCATTTAATTGGACCACATCACTTTATCATTTTTAATTTAGATTTAAATAATTCAACTGCTACATTCTCATTGGTCCATGTGAACAAAAGTATGGTACCTTATGGGTACCATAGAATCTACCATTAAATATTTGTCTGAATGAAAGTCATTCTGTCTTCTGGATATCCCTGGAGCCAAAGACCTTAGAAAGCTGACGAAATAATACAGAGCAATATATTTGCACAATAACACAAATATCTTGATCTGACCATGGATGGAAACAAAAGAAAACATACCCAGAGAATGAACGAAAGATAAGACAATCTATGGTTGAAGAGAAAATAAATACAAATAAACACTCACCAAACTTTTCCAGTATTTATTCATTACATTGACCAACAGCCTTTACACTCATATTCAGACAACTGCTGCTGTGACATGTTTGCTTCTTCATATATAGAAGCACTCATATTTAAAGTAAACAATCGAAAAAAGAAAACTGTGATGAGAAACCTGGCTAAACAAATGATAGAGAGAGCAGCGTTTAAGAGCTCTTTTCATAAAAACCAAAGAGGTGACACCATATTCACAAAAACTTTATGCCTCTCTAGATGGAAAATGAAATAAAATGAATTTATGACCAAATACCTCACTGTAAATGTTGGAATGCTGGATTAATATAAGTCTTCAATTGAGCAATTTTCAACTGGGAAGAATCAAGCACCTGAATGGCTGAAGTAAAGAGAATCCAGCCGCAACAAGATATCGCCTCAACAAGACATGAACCCTATCCAGAGAAAGATAGGATTTACAATCTGAAGCCTCAAAAATTACAAATATCAGGGTACCCAATAATTTCACTGGCACTAGTAATCAGATAATCAAGATTATATTGTCTTTGACCATTTAATAGCAATTCATATACTCAGTACATTAAAAACATTTAAGGAACAATGTTTCATTTGATTTAACTATCTGAAAAGGAGAAGGTGATAAGTTTGCAAGTTAGCAATTTATTATCTCATGTGGCAAATTGCTCAAATGTATGGTGTAAGAAAATTTTTCATATACATTTCATTAATTTCTGCTCAGAGTTAATACAAGTAATCGTCTTGTTGCTTATAGCAATGAAGCGGCTTGAAAATCTGGTTTATGAAACAATAATATGCTTTGTGAAAAACAAGAATTCAAAGCTAGAAAAGAATATGTTCATGCTGTAAAAGGATGCATTCCGTTTTCACCATGTCTAGGTTTTTCTTTTTGAAATATTTACAAATTTATGACTAAAATAAAGATAAAAAATGTGACTTTTTTTAGTAATACAAAAATGTGACTAGTAACTAGAGTAGTAATGAAATCATAGTAACTTATGTTCAATTTTTAAACCTAAGTTACCATGACGTAACATGTACTAGTAGTAACTAATAGTCATATTTGTGTAAATAAGTTTTATTTTAGGAATATTTTTGAAAAAAACTCTCTTTTTTGCAACTCTATTATATAAATTATAAATATGACCACTAAAAGCTGAATGAAGAATATGCGAGCAAAAATAGCATTCTCTCCAAGTCTCCATAAAGATGAAGCGTGATGCCTGGGGTCTTTGATGAGAGTGGAAGAATTTGATTACACATTTACAAAACAACATGCACAAGAGATCCTATAGTTTATGCACAAACATACGATTTGATTTACAACTTTACACCAATTGAGTTTACTTTATTATATTTCGTTACTCATTCAACATTTTTATCCCCAAGAATTCTTGCCACTAAAATTCTAACTTTCATATCAAATGAAAATCTAAAATCATTCTACGTATGTACTTTCCTGACAGTTCTAATATCCATAATATGTATACCACTGTTGTCATTGACATTAATATCCTGACAGTTCTAATATCCATAATATGTATACCACTGTTGTCTTGGGTAGTTGGGTTATCATTGACATTACTGTTGTCTATTTAAATGAACGTATGATGAATCTGACTGGCTTTATAATATGAGTACACCTTAGTAACCTTACCCATAAGCCCAAAACCTAGAGCACAAACTGAACGCATTCCATATTAACACCTAAATCTAATAAGGGAGAAAGCACATAGTACCTAACAAGTCACAGAAGATGACTCAATGCACCACAATTTATTTCAATTGAGGAATATAATTTTCTCAGGTTCAACACAAATATGTAGTTATGTTGGGAAAGATGAAAATATTGTCAGGTACCCTAAGGGAGACTCTTCTGCTTGTGAATTCTTGTTCGAGGAATAGCCAAGATGGCCACAAGTCCAGCAGCAAATGCAGAAATTGCTGCCACAACAAAGGCAGGTGAATTGCCTCCACCAAATAGCTCATCCCAGGGACCACTCCCAATGGAAACCAATATCTGTTTTCAAGCACAACATTGTGAAATGGCAATATTCTCATCATAAGAAATAATAGAACAGATTTATTGTTTCCTTCAGAAAATATTCCATATGCATTTGTAAAACTGCAAAAATTAAATTCAGAGCAAATGTTGGTGGCATATTTAGTGGATGTCCATCTCTATGAAAAAAGTGGATGTCCATGTCTAAAATATTTATCGAATTTGAACTAAACATTCAGAATCTAAATTTTCATTCAACTGCAAAATCATCATATTTGAATTGAATATTCACCGGGTCATATAAAGCTTTAATCCCTCAAACGTTATTTTTTTCATTCTAAATATTTGAACTGGGCTGGTCTTACAAAAATCATTAAATGCTTATAAGGAAAAAATTTGTGGGTGATATTGTTTCTACCTTTCTAAATAAAACTCAACGACACAATTTCACTTCTTGGTAAGCATTTCATACTATATCATAATTCCAGGATCCTTAGAGATCCTAGATTTCTGATTAAATCATCCTTGACTACTTGGTTAATGTCCTTAGTCTCACCCAAGGGTCAGCATACATACAGAAAAAATTATGTTCATTGACTTTATCTGAGATATGAGGGAACTCTAAAATAGCATATTTTCCTAGTAATGAATTGTTCATACAGAGAATATAAATATTGGGATATGCTCTTGACTAGAGATCATGAAAAGTTCATCATCACCATAAGTCCATAATCCTCCCAACTTTTGGGTAGATGGCATGATATTAACAGTACTAATCGATTTAGGGAGCTCAGAGTACTCAAAACTTTAGATTCATCCAAAACAAAAAAGTAAACAACCATGGGTTTAATTACCACAGATTGTCCACAGGAATGGAAAAAGTCAACCACACATTAAGGGTGTCCATAAGATGCTTTCGTGTATCTTATGCCACAGATTATTTATACATAAGGATGGGGGACAAAGTTTTTCTTCTTCCACAGTATTATTTTCAAATGTAACAGCAATTACACCTCTATGTGAAAAGTTTTTCCACAGTGTTCAGTTCATTTTTAAGATAATAGGTACTTTCTGACATTACAAAACTTCGTGATTTTTCCGCGGATGAACCTTATAGTTTGGGTGAAATGACACCAAACAGATGCTTGATTATCCCAAGAGTAACCCTGGAAGGCTCTCTTCAAGCATGGATAAGAGATAAAGATGTGGTAGCAAAAATAAATATAGTTAAAACAACTATGGTACCTGAGGTATAACGATTGCCAGATTTAGTACACCCATGGATAGTCCTGCATGGTATGGGTAGCAGTTTTTTTCACTAGTTCCCAACAAGCAGTATAGAACCAAAGGTAAAATTGGAAATTTCGAAGAAATTTGCAATACAACCAACCTTGGCCAAGCCCCAAGTTCTCAATGTGCGAGGATACCAATGCATATGGAACACTATAAGTTATCTGCAAGGATTGTTAGAAATTATAGGATCCACTTACTTAGAATGTTCTTCAGAACAAAAAGAAAAAATAATAGAAGCATCCAGTATGTTTGTGACTGTGAGCGCATATGCTGCGGCTAATTTTGTACATGAAACAAAATTAGCAAATACTCCGTTCTACGTATGTGTAAACATCTTAAACTATAGTCCTCGTTTTAGATATAACCAGTCCTAAGATCTTCACATACTCACTTTTCTTAAGAACTGCACCACCTCTTCATGTCCCAATGTTAGTGGGACGGAGGTAGTACTACGTATGTGTAAACATCTTAAAGTATAGTCTTTGTTTTAGATATAACCAGTCCTAACATCTTCACTTCCTTTTCCATCATAAGGAACTATTCCTTTTATCCTATGTTATTCCAATTAATCTATATATTATTCATTCATCACCCAAACTTTATGTTTTGCTTATTTTTGTACCAATATTTAAGAATTTCCAAATTAGTGTGTTGCCCTAAATAGAACTTCTTGTAATTTTCAAATGCGTTAGATACACCTATAAGACTTAACTAATTCTAAAAAGGAATTGAAAATCACACAAACAAAAACTATAGTCAAGTATGGCTATATTTGGGATTTACGGAGACTGGAGTAATAAAATGCTGAACGCTAAAACACAAGAGATATGAGTGTGAAAGTTGATCTACAAAGCAAAATCAAAGTAACTACACACATGCGGATAACCTAACGTGTAAAATGTGTTACCGCGACCTTCATTCTTAATGGCAAAAGAAAACGTAGTAACATAATGTAAAAACCAGAACGAGCACTTACGGATAGCGGCACCCCAAGAATAGTGAAAACTATCAACACAGCAATAACAATGCCATTTGGGGGAGGATCGTTAATGGTAATGTCCATGTGGTTCCTTATGGCAGTGATTACAAGCATTGCTATGAAGCACAAAGACAGAACAATGTTAGAGACTCCCCATGCAAAACCAGCCCCCCATTTTCCACAAAGCTTTTCCATAAACACTGAAGTTAATCCAAGGACCACAGAGTTCAACATTAGACCCAATGAGCCCATTCTGACTCCATTACTATAATTTGCTCCATTTGGCTCACCCCCATATATTTCACGACCTACCCAATCAGTATCAAAGAGGGTAAATGGGAACCAGGCAATCCAAGTCAGCATAGTGACAAGGAGAATAATCCAAACAGTAGAAGGAAAGTATTTAAAAGTTCCAAAGAGTTCCCATAGAAAAGGTTCTTCCTGGCCATTGGTGGACTGTTCAACATCAATGCCAGTTTGAGCAGTAGCACATTGTGGACTCAGTGGCTCCTCTTTGACAGCTGATAAGCTTATATATGTAGCTATTACAATGAAAATGATGTCAAGGAGGAAAGCAGCCTTGAGGTTTGCACAGTTGACCGCACAAGCATCATTTAGGGTGAAAGGAAATATCTTATACCAGCCACTGTATGATCCAGTTGCATAACCAAGTATGTTACCCGCAGCCATAAACAAGGAGAAATACGCATTTGCTACGCGAGTCCTTCGATGATCCTTTTCTAGCACATATAATTAACAGAACCAGTGTCATCTTTTAGGTAAAACGCAAATCAAACAGTTTTATCATTATACAGTTATATCAATATCAGCACACATATATTACGCAAATGTATGATCTTTTTCTAAAAATAGTCAAGAATGGCATCAATGCAGTGTATCGTTGTCAAATTTTTTCCTTTTTCTTGTTTCATAACATTCCTAAGAAAGATTTCCAGATAAGTATAGGACAAAGTAGCAGATATTTTATCAAAGCATTTCAATATTTACTAATTTCTGATTTCTAATTACTAAATATAAAAACATTACTTGGAGTTGCCAAGGAAATTAAGATTGTTGGGGAACTATTGATTTTGTTCACAATCATTTTCTCAACTTGTAGTTCACTTTTGTACATCCGACCCCCCCCCCCCTACCCCCCCGTAGGTGGGAGCCTTTGCGGCACTGGGGGTAATGATGATGATGAATGATGATGATGTAGTTCACTGTTGTACGATATATGGTTGGCGTACGATTTTTGGTAATTACTCTTCATGTTAACAAGGCATTTGTTTTATTTTAGTCCGCAATTTGTGCAAGTGAATTAGTTCCCTTAAGCGACAGGTAAGTGCACAGTTTAAGAGTATAATTTACAAGGATTTATTTTGTGTGCACATCATTACTCAAAACTGCAATTGGGCACTGCTTCACAACACACCCCAGCAACTAGCTGCCCAACTGCCCAACTGCCCACTGCTTTCTCCGTTACTTGGACTTGGCAATTTATTTCAGGGGTATACCTTCTATCCAAACAATGGCGTGTTGTTGGTCAACTTTACCCCTATGTTGTAAGCCCCAAACCGGACCGGACGGGTTTACCCAGAAACGGGTGACCCGAAACCTAATCTGGTCTGGCTATGTAGCAACCTGCAAATTTGAGTTATGACACTAGCCGCTAAAACCCGACAGCCCGCATCAGACCGGGGCGGATGTCCCATAACGGGTAAGAACAGGAAAGCCGGCAAACCAAGCAAAACTGAAACTTTTCGCCGCCTCTGAGAGTCGAACTTGTGTGTGCTGTGTGAAATAGGGACAGGGTTTCCAAGCAACCAACTGTATCAGTTGGTATTTGGTGGTCATTAAACATAACACACCTTTAATAATTTCCATTATGAGATTTTATTAAGTGTTATTAATACTTTAATAAATATAATTATATGTATTATCAGTATTACTTTAATTCCTGTTAATGTAACATTCTAAACATAAGTGAAAAAAGTATTGTGTCATCTACACAAACTTTAACTACAGAGTAGTATTTAATTTTCTTATGTCTCACCTAATTCAAAATTGCAATATCTAATAGGACGAAGACATTATATTTTAGAGCATTATGAGAAAGTGTAAAATTTAAATTTTACTACTAAAACATTCAAAAAAAAGAATGCATATTTAACCCTATGATGAAATTAGAAAATACTTCTAAAATAAAACAAATACGAGTATCAAATAATATCACTGAATAGGTAAATAGATGGTTACTAAGCATTATAATTATTTGATTAGTATGAATAATAAATATCTTTGCTTTTAGTCTTATATATATACTACTCCGTACTAAGAACTAGTATTATAGTTTTATAATTGTAAAATTTATAAAGGTTGACCGGGTTTTCCAGCGTTGACCGAGTTGACCCGCCGGATCAAGGTTGACCAGTGACCCAATTGTTCTTCCGGTAGCTTCCTGGATTTTACAACATAGCTTTACCCCTTTAATTAGATACAGTAGTTGCTCATTTGCCAAGACAAAAGATACAGACGGTCCCTACTTGTTCCACTTGAATACGCAAATCCAGTTGTATTTATCACACAATTCAAAACAAATTAATACGGAGTAATAAAATAGTGATAAATATGGCAGGTGATTTAGACCATCATCTTCCTCAAGGATGGAAACGAAATTACACAAATCAAACATGAAAACAAAACTGTTGGGTCTCCAGGTGGATAATAAAATGCTACCGATGTTCTTACGGCAGCAATTTTTCGCTCTACTACATGTAACCAATAATCAGGCGTAAATTTAGTAAATTGGAAGCGTACTTGTAAGATCGGCGAGAAGAGCTCTACAAGGTCCCTGAGTCACGTTATTCGCCACATCGAGGAGCGAAAAGCCGACAACGAAGGCGGCGATTGCGCGTACCTTAACACCGCCTCGATCGCCGAAGAGCCAGCCAATATCAGCGGAAAAACCGATTATAAGCACCGCGACTATGATAAAGATGGCGCCTCCCAGGATGAACGGGCGGCGGCGGCCGAACCGGCTGGTACATCGGTCGCTGATGAGTCCAACCAGCGGCTGAACGAACAGGCCGGAGAGCGGGCCGCAGAGCCAGATGATACTGGCCCACGCGTGAGGGATTCCGAGCTCTTGTACGTATGGCGTGAGCAGAGACAGCTGTAAAGCCCATCCGAACTGTATCCCGCCGGCGACCGAGGCGACTCGGAAGAGTAACTTCAACGACACTCGAGTCCCTCTAGCCGGTTCTCTACTCGTTGAAGATCGACTCTGCCTCTGACGCTCTCCTTCCGGCATCGTGGAATATCCTTATTTACCTATGCGTGCATAAATTGCACTCACCGGCGGGGTTGTACGACCGAGTGTCGTATGTTGTCCGGTGGCGGGAGAGGGGTTAGGAGAGAGGCGTCTGAGGAATGTGAAATAGAAAATTGAGGAAAGTGGCCAAAGTGCCTACATATTTGAATATTTTTGGGCTTTTTTTTATGAATATTACTAAAAAAGATGTGATAGACAAAAATATGACTTGATTTTAAGTTTTCCAAATGTATGACTTGTCATATTATTTATTATCTCATTTAATACTCAGTACTACATACTTTTATTATTGTGATATTCAATTTCTATAATTATATAATTAATTAATGTCTTCTGGCCACTAGTATTACTGACGTCGTCCTGCCGCCGGTACTTCCGCCGCCGCCGACAATTCGGCCACCGCCGTTTCCATAGTGACTTTGTTACCATGACTTCTTTAGTGACTTCGTCCAGTAACTCCGGTGGCACGGCTACGTCCAGTGACTTTGTTGCACTACCATTTCCAGTGACTCCGCCACAATGGCCTACCTCTAGTGACCAACTGCCACCCCCACAGTGACTGCCACCCGAGAGCAGTGACTACCGCCCGCCCTGTCTTACTAGATCTGGGGGCCCTTCTCTAGCCCGCAGCCCCTCCCCTTTCCCCACCACTACACTCCCCAACCCTGACTGTCTCTCCAACCCTCCCTAGCGCAAAAGTCATCAATTGGTGCTTCATATTCACCACCCCGATCACTCCTAATCGTCTTAATCCTTCGATTAAGTTGGTTTTCCACTTCATTCTTATAAAGAATGAATTTATCGATTGTTTCGTGTTTATTTTTTAATAAATAAACGTAGCTATAGCGAGTGCTATCATCGATAAAGGTAATAAAATATTCATTACCGCCGCGTGTTTGTATTGATTTAAAATCACAAACGTCACTATGAATTAATTCAAGTGGTTCCGTTTTTCTTTCAACCGATTTGAAAGACGTTTTCGTTAGTTTTGCCTCTACACAAACTTCACATTTGTGCTTCACATCAATAGTGAATTTAGGAATGTGCTCCATGTTAATTAATCTAAGTATAGAATTAAAATTAACATGTCCTAGTCTACCATGCCACACATTGGAAGACTCAAGCAAGTAAGCAGAAGGGATTTTATTATTATTATTAATAATAGTCATTACATTGAGCTTAAACAGCCCATCACATGTATACCCCTTTCCCACATACATTCCCGATTTAGACAAGACTAATTTGTCCGACTCAAAAACCATGCGGAAGCCATGCTTGTTCAACAACGAACCGGAAATTAGGTTTTTGCGTATCTCCGGAACGAACAGCACTTGGTTTAGAGTCAGCTCCTTGCCCGAAGTCATCTTCAGGACCACTTTGCCCACGCCTTCAACCGCAGAATGGGCTGAGTTTCCCATCCACACCTTCTCACCATTTGATGGCTCAAAAGTAGTGAATAACTCCCAGTTTGAGCAAATATGCCGGGTTGCACCGGTGTCCACAAACCACTCCTTGGAATTGGATCCAACGAGGTTGACTTCCGTAACCACAGTCGCTAGGATGATGTCTTCATCCTTTTGCCCACCTTGCATCAAGTTGACTTGAGAGTCTTTCTTCTTCCGTTGTGTCTTGCAATCCGAGGACTTGTGTCCATTTTTATTGCAATTGAAGCATTTTCCGTTGAACTTTGTCTTGTAAACGCCTCCCTTGGGACCGAGCTTGCTCTTCCCATTATTTTTATTTTTGGAGCCTTTAGCATGCTCCACCACGTTGGCCTTGGCGCCATGAACAATTGGGAGTTTCACATCGTTCTTCCGGTTATCCTCTTCAATCCGCAGACGGAGGATCAATTGCTCCAAGTTCATTTCCTTTCGCTTGTGCTTAAGGTAGTTCTTGAAATCCTTCCAAGCCGGCGGCAATAAATGGATAATTGACGCCACTTGGAAAGACTCACTAACTGTCATTCCTTCATCTCGAATTTCGTTGAAGATCATTTGCATCTCCTCAACTTGACTCAAGACCGTCTTCGAATCCACCATTTTAAAGTCAAGGAATCGACCAACAACAAATTTCTTTGCGCCGGCATCCTCGCTTTTATATTTGTGGTCCAAAGCATTCCATAGCTCCTTAGCCGTAGCTAATTTTCTATAAACGTCGTACAAAGCATCATGCAGCCCGTTCAACACGTAGTTTCGGCAAAGGAAGTCAGAATGCTTCCAAGCTTCAACCGCGTTGAAAGATTGCGCATCCACCTCACCCCCGGTTGCTACCGGCGCATCTTCGGTCAAGAATCTAGAAAGAGCGAGAGTAGTGAGATAGAATAGCATCTTTTGCTGCCACCTCTTGAAGTTTAACCCATTGAATTTCTCGGGTTTCTCCACAGAGTTGCTTGGCACAGTCACCATAGGGATAGCCCTTTGGTTGGCCAAAGTAGATGCACCGCGTTGTGAACCATTGTTCACCGGTGCTCCACTTTCAGAGTGATTGTCGTTCAGAACATTCTGCCCAACACCAATCTCGTTTTCTTGAGAAGTCATTTTCGTTCTTTAACGTTTTTCCGAAAACGCAAAAAAATAACTTCGTTCACCAAAGTGACAAACTACGTTTAAGATTGTATCTGTATGATACAAGCTCAACAAATACGTTTTAAGATTGTTGGGTGTGTTTCGGAAAATAAAGAAAATTAATTAAAATAAATTAATTAAATAAAATGACTAAAGAAAAACAGGAAAGGAGATGAAGCACAATTAGTCAAAGCTCGTGCTACGCATGATTTCCTTAAAACGTATTTGTTGGCTCCCACGGTGCTAGGAGCGTTGCAACAATCGTTTCCCAGGATACGATGACTACGAACTAATGTTTGAGCACACAAACAAGAGTTCCAGCGAACGAGAACCAAGTATGAACACAGAAGGAAGTTTGCTGAGTAGCTTTAGGTGTTTTTAGCTCAAGAAATTCGTGAGGAATGTATTGTGCGTTGTCTTTGTTGCAAAGCATCTACCAGCTATTTATAGGAGGATTTGTTGTGTGTTAAATGGGGTGTTAATGGACCTGAACGTTGGACTTCAATGACCAGTCCGTTGGGCATTGAATCATCCATAAACTGTCCATTTAACGTTGCATCAAAAGACAAGAACGTTGGGCATTTAATGGTTGTAACGGCTTGGAGCAGTTCTGGTGCGCGATCAGAATACCCCCATCAGAGTTGGAGCAGTTCTGGTGGGCGATCAGAATACCTCCACCAGAGTTGGAGCAGTTCTGATGCTACCAGAAGATAGGTTTTCGGACGACATTCGTGTCTGCAGGTCGCCCGCGCACACGAGTCGCGGTTTTTCTTCTCCGTTTCGGGATTTGATCGACACCCCCCCCCCCCCTGCGCGTAAGAGAGAGCCTTTCCCTTTAGGAATCTTAACTCCTTAAAAGAGGCTTCCCTTTATAAGGGGGTGAAAATCCCTTGAGTTTTTCGGTGTGGGATAAAATACACTAGAAACTCACCATTTTCCCAGTTTTTCCATTTCAACGAGTGAACTTCGAGAATCAATTTCTCATTCACCCGTTATCCGTTTTGAGTGTACCATATATCGAATTGTAGCCCTTAACAAGGACAATCCGAAACCACTTTGACCCGACCCAAATCGGAAGTGGACCCCACTCAATTAATTGCCCCAAAAGGACCATTTAATGCAATTTTAACACATTTTTCCAACATTTATGTCCATTAAAACTCTAGGAGTAATATCCCAGTCATTATTTCAATATTTTTTGCCGATATGCGAGTTTAGCAACAGCGGAAATCTAGGGTAATATAATAATAATAATAATAGTAATAATAATAGTAATAATAGTAGTAGTAGTAGTAGTAATATTTGCTCCATCCCTTAATACTTTATCAACTTTCCCTTGAGTTATCTCACTAACTTTGGCATTTTCCCTTCTAAGTAATTAATTTGTTATTTCACTTGATTTTTTCTCTTTCATACAAACCCCAATCACACAATTTTTACTTTATTAATATCAGTCCCGATCAAATATGACAAAGTTTTAAGGGACAGATTAAGTGCATTCAAAAAAGCAATATTTTAGAAGTTGAGGATGCAAGTTTCTAGAAAACTGATTCTACTTTCGCTTTTAAATAAGAGGTAGAAGCTTATATGAAGATGAAAGTGATGACTAAAAACAAAAAGGAGCAATAGGAAAGAAACAAATGTAGTTATATTACGAAAACATATGGCATCAAACACATGATTTTTCATTAAACACACATTTTTTTATTTTACTTGTTGAATTGTTTAATAATAAAAATAAGCAAGGTTGAAGTTATTTTATGACTGTAGTAGAGATAGAATAAATAAAAATCCATCAACTATAACCCCAAAAGAACCAGATTCCAAGAACCATTTTAACTGTTTTCGTATATATACACCCTCTGTCCCCCAATTAAGTTCTCGGTTTGACTTCACACATATTAAGAAAATAAATTTGACTTTACTGTGGAGTGCACTGTTTTGCACTGTTCAAACACTGTTTGGACACTATTTGACACTGTTTTGCACGGTTTGACACTGTTTTGATGTAGATAATTTGCCAAATAAGGAAAGTAAGGAAGTGTGAATTTAATTTAGGGACTGCCCAAAAAAGAAATTGGTAACTTAATTGCGGGACGGAGGGAGTATATTTTTATTTTATTAATAAAATATGTTTTAATTTTTTCATAATTTCAGCAGATTCAGTCAATCCAGTCGTTTTAGTCAGAACTTCATCAATTTCAGCATAATCAACCGATTCAATTCTTTAATATTAATGGAGGTTATTTTCTCTTAATTTTTTGGTCAATTTTGTATAACATCTTTTGAAGACTTACTCGAGTGTTAGGGATAAACAAAATGAATTATTCAAGTGTTAAAGTAGATCTTATGACATTTGGGTATGAACTATGAAGTACCGAAAGATTGTCTAGCCAATTCTTATCTCAAGTCATAACGGACATTTGCATATACTTGATTGATTTAGAATAGTTATTTCCTTTATATTTTTTAAAATATTTAGTTTCCAAATGAAGACCTAAGTCTTTAATCTTGATTTTGCTCTTGAAACTTGTTGAATATTAAATTTATGATTTATTTTCTTAAACTTCTCTTCTTGAGTATTAATTATTC